AGACTCTTTATTAAACAGATAATTTGGAAGAATCTCCATTATCGGTCAAACATGTCAACCAAAGTAATATTTTCCCAATGTGCACTGTTAATAAACAGTTAGAATGAATACTTAATAAAAGGTGCGGATGGGAATGTCCTTATCTTTGCAGGTGTTTGGTCAGTATTGGACAAGTTGAAACTTTGACCTGATGATGGTGCTAGATGAAAGGTGAGAAGATCTCTAAAGTTATTAGGAAGCTTCCTCTGGGGATAAAAAGTCCCATATGTGTCCCAGTCCAGTAGGTGTAAAGATATTTCACTAACAATAATCATCATGTTTCATTGCAGGATAAGATACTGGGGGAGTAAGATATTCCTATAGCCAAAGGGAATTTAGGCAATGTTTTGCCGGATTATTAAAGTATTTAAAATATTGATTCACTTAAATATAATTATAATAATAATGATGATAATAAATATAATATTAAAATAATAGATATTGCTTGACAGCTGGTTCTGGTTGAATTATGTATTATTGATGACATTTAGTATGTCTCATAAAGAAGAAAGAAAAATATAATTATAAACTAGATTATGATGTAATCACAAAGAGACCAAAAATGGGCGAAAACAAGTTCTTGTTTGTTTGTTTTGTCTTCAAGTCATACAGAAATATGCTTACAAGAAAAAGATAAACATGTTAGATCAAGAGAGAAGGGGGGGAGTTTGTGGTTGAAGACACTTTGATGAGTGTGGTGCTTCTCGCGTCTTTGCTGTGCTGGCCTTCCATTAAGAGTGAGTAAACTGGTAAAACTATTGCAGCTGGCTCCTAAAGACCCCACAGAACATGTTTGTGTGTTTCGTGCTTCAAGTTACCTGAGTGCGTGTCTGGCGAATCACTCAGGTGGGCCCTGAAGACCCAGACTGCACGCTGCCGCTCACCCATGCTATGTTCATCATCAACATGTTAATTACTCGTATGAGGTCTGACACAGACACATGTGGGATGAAATGTACCTGCTGCCCCAGAGCAGCTTTTCTCCCTCTCTGTTCTTTAATCTTACCGACCACCCTCCCTCCCCTGAGTGTCTCCCCTTCTGCATGAGTCATGCGGGGTAAATTAGCAGTAAGCAGCAGACAAGACAAGCTGAAGGTTAGCAGATGTGTAAGAAATGAGCAAATACAGGTTTAGTCACTATTTTAAGACCTGCTCTCCCTTTTCTCCTTGTCCTCTTGTAATATTTAATTGTATCATCTCGTGTCCAAGTGGTGGTTATTACTTTGTTGTGATAGATGTTGGAATTTTGGATAGTATTTAGATCTGCAAGTTACATTTTAAACACTTTTTAAATAACTTTGATGGTTACATGGATTTTATGAAGAAACATTCATTGTGTGTGGTGAATGACACATTTTAGTAAGTCATTCTAATTAATTCCAAGTATTTATGAACAGGTCTAAGGGGAGTAAAGGTACCACTGTGTCCAGGACTGTGGTTACACAAATACATATTTTGTGAAAGCAAGACAATAGCACAAAATAGCACTTCCTCTAAAAAAATAGCTTATGTATAGGTAACATGACCTATTTGAGTGTTTTCTCCGCATTCAGTGTTGTACTCTTTTGAGTGAATGACATGGACTGTCAAAGGGCCGGCACAATAGAGGGCGTGGATATGTTGATGTGTTTGTGCGAAACATGTAATGTGTTCCATGCTAAAGGATGTGTCATTTAAACAGTTATGGCTTGAGTGGATATACAAACTCACGAGGCCATTTTGATGGTGAATTGTTCCAAGGTTGTGTCTCAAACGTTCACATCAACTCCCATAAACACAGGAGGGGGTACAAACAAAAGGCTGAATGAGGACTATGCAATGTGAACTCAATCTGTGGAGTTTACATGTTTAGTGTGTCTTTAGACTTAATATCTCATTGTAATACTTTTCTTATTAACCTTTATGAGTTTAAAATGCTGTCAAATAAGAAACTGACTGCAACTCAAAATATTCTAAATTTGACTCAGAAAAGGTTCCCCTGTGAAATGTAAATGATTTAGCAAAATACATACACATATATAAATATATAAATAGATATCATTTCCAAGACACTTCATTGTACATTATGACTTAGTTGAAATTTGATTCAACATGGTCTTGAGTCATGAGTATAGCTTTTTATGTTCGATGGAGACTTTCAGTACATCAATGACAAAAGCAGTGGTTCTCTGTTCTCTGAGTGAAGGAAACTCTTTGGCATATTGAGTGCTTTCCTGATATCTGCTATGGTCCTTTGTTCCTCTTTAATACTATTTATAGAAATGTGTTGGTGACTCAGTCTGCTAATGTGCATTGTAAATTATGCACTGATGTTTAAAAACTCAAGTTTCTCATTACCGTCTGGTGCCCACAGCCTTTTTTCAATGTTGCAATTTTATAAATCAAATAGAAATGTGACGTGAATGCACTCCACAGGGCTCAATGAAAAGAAAAGTCTGGTTTTGCACATGTTTAATCCGAGAAGCCATATTTTTGAACTGTTTGTGTGGACAGATTGTGCTTGTGCGTGGTTTATTTGTGTTACCCATAACTGTCGGCAGATCTCAATTACGAGCAGTGACTACAATCGCTTGCACTGACAACAGGAAGTGTGTGTTTGTTTAAAGGAGGATCTCTTGACAGTGTATCTGTGTTTACAGCTTCTAGGCCCACAACTGTCATCACTACCCCCAACACACGCAAAGGCACACACACACACACACACACACACACACACACACACACACACAAAACCCACTGCCCCCTCCAACACACACACACAACCCCAACATTTTTCTAATTATAGTAAAATACCTGGGCCAGCTCTCTTCTGCACTCCTACACTTCCTCAATCAGAGTCCCTTTCTACTTCCTTATCTGTTGCTGTCTGCCTCAAACTATCCCCATGTCTGTCCCCTATCCCTCTCATTCATTCTTTTAATTTCCAACCTACCCTTTACACAAGGACATATAGCTCAAATCTGAAAAACAGGCTGGAACGATAAAAGGTCACAATGAGGTCCAAGTCATTTGCTGCAGATGAAAACTCACATGGACATGTACCTACATGCACATGCATGGAGATATAACAGTGTACAACACATGACTCACACAATGCACACACAAACTTCTGCAGGATGTCTATTTATACTCCGCACACTCCACAAATATGCACTCAGACAGCCCGGCCTTCAGCACACTGCTTTGTATTGGGCCTCTCTGCTACAGTCCATCCATTTTACTCCCATTGCTCTTCATCTACGCTATCTCAGTATCAGCTTCTTGGTTCTCCATATCATCTCCATCTCCCACTGAACTTCCTCCCGCCATTACAGATATGAACTTTCTGGCAATAACAAGCCACAGATGTGAGGAGCCTCGTATGGTGACGGCGTTCTCATGAGTGAGCAGTGGGCTACCGGCTCTCTCTCATTTCCATCTTCAAGCAGAAAGCGTGGCTCTCAGACGCAGTTGAAACACCCACTGGATTCTTGTTTGGAGAGTCAGTAATAAGATTGTGGTGATGAGGGTTCAAACTGGTGAAGGTTTGAGCTCTCATCTGCTGCTGGTTATGTACGAGCATGCGTGATTGTCACAGTGACAGAAGAAAGTCCGAATTCGTGTTTGCCTGCGAGAGAGAGCGTGTGTGGTTGTTTTGCACACGTGAAGGAAGGTAGAGAGAGAGAGAAAGAAAAAGAGACTTGTGCTCCGCTCCAGTGAAAGTATCTGACTCATGGCTGATTGTTTATTATTGCGAGTGACTGTGGTCCTCTCAGGAAGCCGCAAGAGCATTACTCATTGAACCAGAGAGGAGATATAGATGCAGTCTGTCTCCTCTTACATATGTATTCATCTATTCCGCAGTTTAATGAAATGCCGGGAATCCCCGCAATGCAGTAACTTTTTAATCTGAGCCAGGATAAATAATGTGATTTCTATTTACTGCGCACCCCACCGGACTGTCACTGGAGGAGAGTAGTTTTGCTCTGTGCCTGCCGCATCAGAGATGTTTAGAGAAATGTTAGGGCCAGCTAGTGTCACATCTCCTATCTCATGCTGTCATCGCTGGAAATAGAGATGACACTCAGGAGATGGATTGGGATGTCTTGTCCTCAGCCACTAACCACTAACTTCACTTCTTATCTGACAAGGGGGAAGAAGGAAAGTAGCATAAACAACCCCAAACACACTCCCCCCCTCCTCTTTTACATCCCTTGTTTCCCGGTGCTGACAAGTGCCTGCCAATATCTGTTTCATTGTGCACACAGTGCAGCCTGGTGATCTTGGGGAGAAAAGGATGATTGAGTGGTATGCTGCTGTGTGACAGCGAGGGATGGATGGACACATAATATGTTGAATAAATACACAATTATAACTATTTTCCTCCTATTTTTGCTCATGAATTTATAGTGTGCCTCTGTCAAAATGAATTGTAAATATTCGTGTTTGATTGGATTCTTAAATCTCGTTAATTCATTGAAGAATTCAGAAGACCCCAATAAATGTATCTTTATGTGTATTCTGAGAAGGCCTTATTATCTTTTATATACAATAATAAATAATAATACATGGTAAAACTAATGCTGTTTTTTAGGATTTCCAAGTGGTTTTGAATGTTTTTTAAAGACAGGAAGGGGGGGGAACAAAGAAAGATCCAAAGTATAATTTAATAATGTATTAGTATAGGAGGATCGATTGATGGCACATGTTAACTCACAATAGCCTCTGATACCTACACACAGTGACATAAATGTGATTTACTGATAAGGGTATCAACATTGACATATCACTGAAGTTTATTTATGTCACAATCAGGCCACTAAAAAACACTTAATTGAAAAAGAAAGAGAGAAACAAAAGGCGAGAGAGGGAGCAAAAGATAAAGTCATACACACGCGCGGAGAGGGGGGAGGAAGGGAGGGAAGGAGGCGAGGAAGTACTTAGAGAGGAGACGCATCATCTGTGCAGTGGTAGAAGCAACATCTCCTGGTTGCAGTCCGACAGCACAGCAAGCAGCATATTCAATTTTTATTTTCTGAAACAGTTCCTCTGTGACGCGACGATGTGGATTTACAAGCTCATGTTCGGACTCTTCGTCATTTCTTGTTCTGGTAAGTTTTGACTAAACCGTTCTGCTCCGTAACGTCTGCCACTGACTGGAGCTGGTGCCAGAACACGTTGCTTTGCGCTTTGTGCGAAAGGACTGTCAAACTTGTGGGAGGCTTTAAAATGACTTTATCATGTTCGGCTGTGTACTGCATACCATCGCTATCAGTCACTTGGTTAGTTTAAGTGACTCTTAGTCTTGAGAACATTTATTTAATTGGCCATTCCTGGAAGAAATATGAAAGCGATGTCTTCATCATTCCTGAGTAGCAGGGCTTTTTAAAACTCAACTCTTGCTGAGTGAACGTAATGCAACCATGCACTCAGTGCCACCGCGCACCGCATGGACGCGTTAATAATATGAATATTATATGAATGGATCACAAGATTAATAAACATTCTACGTCAAGTGAGTAGAAACAATCCACTTTCTCACGACCCGTCTTTAAGTCATCCTGTAGTGCGATTTTGCAGCCCAGTGCTCATAGGCACTCAGGCAGAGAAACTGCTGAGACAGTGAACTCTGCTACCCTCAGATCACAAACACCAGCTCTGGGGTTGTTTATGACACGTGATTCCAAGAACCGATGGGCACTTTTCCAACAGAAACCCCACTTTGTTTATGTTATGTTATTTTTGGTGTTATTCAAAGGTATTAGATCAAGTGAAGTGCATGTAGGCAGAACTTTAAGATATGTAGGAGGAGGATAAATTCGTTTTCTGACTAAATTTAAATGTCTTGCTCTGATTTGCAGAGTTGCAGGGATCTGCCAATAACTTGGGCAACATACAGATACAAAATTGAGTGTTTATGTGTGTTTATGAGTCTGTTGATTTATAACAGTTATATCAGTCTAATTGACACATTGCATGCTCTTGCACAGTGTTCTCAGTCGAAATGCAATAATTAGCAGATTATCCATGATGTCTCCCAGACCAAAGAGAAGTGTTTTCTATAATGCATGTCTATTCATCAATTATTAGTATTAGCACTTTCAATGTAAAACTCAATTCAGTGTTTATTTTCTCATATTATCTAATAGTCCTAATAAAAGTAAAACATCAATAAAGTATGTAGACTTTCTTGTTGTAATGATGAGTTCAGTATGTTATTGTCATCAGGCCACAGGGTTTATGATGGCAGACTAGTTGAACATGCTGCTGACATGTTATGTAACTGTGTTAAGAGGGCAGAAGAAACGCTCTCCAGGACTACCAGAAGACAGATGGTTTGCGACTGGTTGTCGAGTCTCCGGATTCCTCCCACCTGACCAAAAGCAAGAAAATAAGCATGGCAAAGTGTGCCAAAGCCTGTAGCCGTAACAAAAGATTACCTTTCAGCTGCAGGTATGTCTACACTCTCAGAACATATTTAATGTAGTCTCCAACACTGTGAATGAATGGCTTTCAGTGCAAAGAGAGTTAAGTGGTACTAATGTTCCTCAATTACATGTTCCACATGTAAAATCCATTTGTTGTCCTAGCTTGTTAAGCAGTCAATCTAACTGCTCTGTAACAGCTGTGTTAACTGCCCTGACTTGATGTACTTCACTCTTTCTCTGTTCTCTGTCCCTCCTTTCCTTTCCTTATTCTCCAGAGCGTTCCTCTATGATCATAAAAACAGGAAATGCCAGTGGCTGCCGTTCGACAGGAACTCACCAGGAGTTCAGAGCCAACAGGATTTCAACTACCAACTGTATCAAAAGAAAGGTGAACTATATTGTTACATCTTCATTCTCAATCAGCTGATACTAAAGTGCTGCCCCCACTGTTACAATTCCATCAGAAAGTAACTATTTCTGCCACTTGAAATTAGCAGCGTTGCTTTAATGTACTCCATGTTGTGTTAATGAAACATTTTAAACCATGTGAATACCTATTTTGAGTGATTTCCTAAATTGCAATTCCTTAAGAGAGCATGTGAAGGAAGGGCAAGGAGTCAGGACCGTTGTTGTGTTTATTGTGTCGCAGCATATTATGGTTCATTTTCTGTCATTAAGTTTGTGTAAACGCTGGAAACCCCCATCCCACTTCTCTCTGACTGACCACAACAGTGAACATGCAAGCTGTGTAGACTATTTTAATGGATCCAAGTGTTTTGCAGAAGATTAGGAAAACAGATTTGGCTTTTGGCATTGCTGTGTCCTTGTTAAGCTGAGCATTATAGCTGAACATCTTCTGTCTGTTTTCCTCATCATCCATACTGGCTCTGCGTACACAACACTGGAATCAGATTGTTGGCTCATCTCACTAACTCACTGTGTTTCTGTCATCTTGTCTTTCTGTCTCCATCTCGCCTCCTCTCTCTTTCTGACTCTCGTTCAGACTATGTGAGGGAGTGCATTGTGGGTACAGGTCAGAGCTACAGGGGACGGAGGTCGGTGACAGTGAGCGGGATCCTGTGCCAAGCCTGGGCCTCTCCTATTCCTCATGAGCACAAGTAAGAATCTGACACACTTTTTACCACAATGTCAAACAAGTAGTGCTAAAGCTGCTTCTTACTGTTAGTATTGGTCAGTGATGCAATTAGCTAGTAGCCAGGGGCTAGACTGTATGTGTCTGTGTGTGTATATGAGTATGATATATTAGGGGTTGATTAGGCTCCTGGGAGCAGTCATTCATCAGAACTGACCTCATTGTAACGCTTTACAGAGTCACAGATCATTTCCTGCTCCAGCCCTACTGTTTATCTAGGTGTGTGTGTGTGTGTGGTGTGTGTGTGTGTGTGTGTGTGTGTGTGTGTGTGTGTGTGTGTGTGTGTGTGTGTGTGTGTGTGTGTGTGTGTGTGTGTGTGTGTGTGTGTGTGTGGTTGTATTTTACTGGGATTAGGATCCTATCTAATATGCAGCTTTTAGTTAAGCTTTGTGTACATCCCGCAGCCAAATTTCAAGATAAAGCTCATTTTGAAATGCTCGGGCATACTTTTTGATGCAGTGTGCCTCCCAATCGAAAGACGAACACAGAGTGTAATGACAAAAGATGCAATTGAAGTACAGCCTTCTATAGAATTATGAAAGCTTAATTAACACAAATTGTTAGTAGCAACAAGATGAATTTGTTTATTCTTTACAAAATGTCTAATAAAGTATTATGTATCATAATGAGTGTATTCGAAATGTAACTTATCTGAAAAGGAGGCTATTAAAGTTTCTGAAACACGACATATAAAACGAATGACATGCAGTCCGAATCTTGTTGGATCAACTTTGTTGAAATAAAAATGACTGCAAACTGTTTTTTCAAGTGAACACAGCAAAAACAACCAGTAAAAGAATAACTACGTTTATCAATTGTCAGATATTAATATCCATCAGAGAACCTAACAAATGAAACATACAACTCATCTTAGACCTTTATTATATTTGAACCAAATGCTACCTCCTTCCTTCTCCCCTTGTCGCTTCTGGGAGGTATTAAATGACTTTGAAAGGCTTTGTAGTGAGATGTCGAATCAAAGAGGGCAGTGTACGTTTGTACCTAAAGTGAACCTGCTTTATCAGTCTGCTATTAATGTCTCTGTAGATCGGGTAATTGAACCCAGCCGCTTTGTATGTTTTATCAGTCAGCTTACAGGCATGGGAAACTCTGACACACACACACACACACACACACACACACACACACACACACACACACACACACACACACACACACACACACACACACACACACACACACACACACACACACACACACACACACACAGAACAAATTGCATTTGTATCTGTGATAGCCTTCTACTCTTCTTTGATTGTCCAGCAAACTCCTTCTCATTTCTTTCCCTGTCATTCCTAATTCCACTTCAGAATGTTATCTTTTTATCGTCATGGGAAGAAATTCAGCTTGACTCAAAGACTGCACTACAGTATGTCCATCTTCTCAACTGGTGACCACAGCCATATGCTAGCCTGATGTAGAAGATATGAGTCATTTGTCAGTGTGTTTACATTACATTCAGAACCAGCCTCATTCAAAACTAACATTGCTTCTACATTATAATGTGTTTTCTGTCATTATTAACATCTTGTGATCAACAGTTTGACCTTTATGCATAGCAGTCAATTATTTGTACAGTTGGTAATGTTCACTGGTCATGTTTACAGCCAGGTTTCAGCCATCAGAGATAAACAGCAGCTGTCTCATAAATGAGGAGAGGATTCGGTCAAAGCTATGTAAAGAGAAACCGAAACTGTGACCTTGAGTTTCTTTGCTCTTCATGCCAGCTGAATATTTCTCTAAGTACATGTGTCTGATTGTGTAACTACGGCTCTGCTCTTCACAGATTCATGTCTAAGAAATTCAGGAAGAAGGACCTCAGGGAAAACTTCTGTCGCAACCCAGACAACTCCACCGTTGGACCATGGTGCTTTACCACTGACCCCAGCCCACACCTCAGACACCAGGAGTGTGGTATACCACAGTGTTCACAGGGTAGGCCACACACACAAAGACACACACACTCACGTACACAAAATATGTCTTAAATCTTAAAATAATGCCCATTCCTTGTTGCAAATTGCCCTACCAATTGAGGCTTGATTGTCTGAAATGAGTTGCTGCAAATTAAGCAATCATGTAGTTCCTTAAACTAAGCAAAGCTGGCTCTTACAGTGCTCCGCTCTACATCTGTGTGTGACCATGTGTGGTGGGGCACAGGTTTTCTGTATTTGCTGAGACCAGCTGTAGCCGTTTCCAGGTCTGTGGTTCAGTTTAAGCTGTCCACTCTCATTCCATCAGGTCCAGGATTGGTAAATAGTTTGAACCTTAAGAGGCTGATGCTGGAATGTTAGAGGATATTAATCCCCCTGTCGTCTCCTATAGATACATTGTTAGCTATTTCATCCATCCCTGTGGCACACTTAAAAGGCAACTACTTTTTTGAGTCATAGGTCTGTAGAGGTAAAACTTGTAATGAAGGAAAAGTGCTTTCCACCGCAGCCTCTATGTTAAATCACAGAATATTACTGTCAGGCACTGATATCACGCTGAAGAAAGGCCTGATAATGACCTTATCTCATTCCTTGGGATTTGTTCTGTCAGAAGGGTTTCCTCTGCATGTATGCCACTGGATCAGCTTAATAAGGAACCAGACCGAGGCTCGATAAGAGTGCGGGAATTCTTCCTGCTTTCAAACTCACATATGGTGTCCTGCTGCTTTATCAGAAGTTAAACAGACCAAGATAATTACTTTTTATCTTGAAATATAGCCTTTGTTAATTCTGAAGAAAATGACATGAAATGTTTCTCCAGAAATTAGCTGGTCATAATAGGAAACATACACACAAAACATGGCGTGCACAAACAAACATACGCATGCAGTCAGTTGAAGTAAGTGTGCTCGGTCATGATAGCAGTGGACTCATAAACATCTGCTTCTAATCTGCATGCACTCTGTTGTTTACACTAGATGGTGAGTCCTAGTCACCATGCAAAACACGGTGCCTTCTAGACATCAAAGAGATAATGGGCATCATTAGTGTGACACATATTATGTGCATCCAAACACAAGTGTACATGTGTGAACTTAAGGTAGATTTATGAAATATTTAACTGTATTCCCTTTTCTGAGTTTATTGCTTTGTCCCACTGCGTTACAACCAAAAGTATCATGATTTATCTAAGGCTCTTTTTAAGTGAATTTTTAGTAGTTTGATTCTGTATTTCTCTAAGCTGTTGCTCTATGTCTTTGTGGATGTGGTCGTCTATGTGTGTGTGTGTGTGTGTGTGTGTGTGTGTGGGTGTGTTTGTGTGTGTGTGTGTGTGTGTGTGTGTGTGTGTGTGTGTGTGTGTGTGTGTGTGTGTGTGTGTGTGTGTGTGTGTGTGTGTGTGTGTAGTTGAATGTATGCACTGTAATGGGGAAGATTACAGAGGACCCATGGACCACACAGAGAGTGGAAAGGAATGCCAGCGCTGGGACCTGGATGATCCGCACAAACACCTGCACCACCACAAGAGGTAACACACACACACACACGCACACGCACACGCACACGCACGCACTCACGCACGCACGCACGCACACACACACACACACACACACACACACACACACACACACGCACGCACGCACGCACGCACACACACACACACACACCACACACACACACACACACACACACACACACACACACACACACACACACACACACACACACACACAGTATCACTCAGCATTACACTAAATCGTACATGCTCCATCAAGCTTAAGCCCACCCACATGGATACACATAATTTAAATGCACAAAGCATGAGAATACTTTATGTAGTAATAATTTCACGCAATAATTTCAGAATAATAGTGATTTACAGTCAGCCAGTGTGCCTTTCCCTGAACGAATGCCAGCAGAATCCAGTGTGTAATTGTGTGTTTTTAGCAGCAATGATCTGGAAAAACTCTTGACTCCCACTTTATTGGCCCAAATTAGTTGAAACTTTTAAAAGATTTAAAAACAGACTTGTGTCTAGCAGTAATAATAATGATACGGTATTATACATATCTTAGGGATCACCAGGTTTCCGGCTGTATTAGTATTCCTTACTGTCCTTGGTTGTCTAGGCGTGTCTGCTTTCTGTGTCAGGAGAGTGTTCCAGCTAGTCACATGGCAGGTGGTCTGGATAAGTGTGTACTCGTTAACACATCCTTAATCATCCCAGTGTTTGTGTAAACCAGGTCCCAGACTGCTCATAGCACTCACATAATGAGTGGGTCCCATAGCCTGATACAGCACGCCTGGAGGCTGGAGGCCTGAAGGGATGTGGGACTGTGGGATGAATTACTGTAGAACACCTGTACTGGTGCAACCTATTATCTTCAACTATCCCCTGAGCTCAGAACAGATTTACAGATGGAGTCCTCTCACCGTTCCAGCTATTAATGCTTCCGTTGCGTGCAACACTTTTGTGAATTGTCTCACCACTTCTATTCTGTTCTCCCAAGAATTGAGAAGGGAAATGGAAATATGATTTCCCTTTCAGGCACCTCTGGGCTTTGAGAAACGTGACACATACTGAACTTCAAGTCAGAGATTTGTGGGCCAAGTAACAGTTTGATGGTTGTTTTGTTCTATGGGTTTCACTCTTATATCGCTATTGTCTATACATAATAATTTTTTTCCTGCATGTTTTGCATTAGGTACCCTGACAAGGGCCTGGATGATAACTACTGTAGGAACCCAGACGGACGCCACAGACCCTGGTGCTTTACCACAGATCCAAACACACCCTGGGAGTACTGCAACATCAAAGTTTGTGGTAGGCATGCATGTGTGTTTGTTTGTGCGTGGTTAAGATGTCATGCATGTTAAGTAGAAGTCTATGTATGTCTGTGCGGGGGTGTGTTTGTGTTTTTTACAGGCCCACGAAGTGTGACTGACGGCACCAGTATTTACAACTTCCTGTACCTTTCATTTTACCACTCCTCTCCCACTCACTTGCTGATACTAAGGAAAACACACACACACACACACACACACACACACACACACACACACACACACACACACACACACACACACACACACACACACACACACACACACACACACACACAGTTCCCCTCTTTAGTTTGGCTCTCTGTTATGTCTTCTCTAATAGCCAAAGTGTTTATTTTCCCCCTGCACCACTGGACTGCTGTTTATTGTTCTATGCCAGCTCTTATGTGCGTTGGTCAAACTGCTCTGCTCAGTTACTGCTTCACATTAACCTCCTGTTACACACACAGACACAACACCAGGCTCACACACACACTACAAGCAGATCGCTTTCATTATATCTTATACACTTAGGGAAAGCAGTGTGATTGATGCGTAAGAGCAAGGTGTATGTGTCATATCTGGCTTCTTATTCTGGGTGTCAATGCAATGTAGCACATCAGCAGATACATGCTCTTTGGTGACCTATAATCAGTGACGAGTGGCTGAGAAAACCTCAAGAACACAAAACAAAGAGAGCAAAGCATTGGTGTTATTGTTGGGCTCAGCTTCTTTCTCTTGGGTCGGGGACTGGTCTGTTTTTCTGCAAGAATCATCAGCAGTCCTGGCACAATGTTTACTAGATGGCACTCCTCCATGTGGACCCAGTGATTCACTATTCCCCCCTTCTTTTCCCTCTCTAAATAGTATGTCCCCCTCCTCGATCCCTCCACCTCTCTCTGTCTCTCTCTTTCTCTGATATGGGGGTTTGTTGGGAACAGACCAAGTTTACGACCCAGTTGGTCTTAATCAAAACAAGGCAGCGAGAGCAGAGAGGAGAGAGACAAAGTGTTCTTGTGTCAAGGCCGGCTATTTTGTTTACTGTCACAACTAGTGCATATCTATTTTTAGACACATTGTATGGACACAAAATGCCTTTTTTTAGAGTCTTGAATATGAGCCACTTTACAGATTTTTGTTTATAACCACGCACAACGTTCAGGCTAATGAACCCTTGCAACTCGTGCGTAATGAGCAGCCCTTAAAAAAAGTAGGGCAGATAAGATTTCATGCCTTGCTCTTGCAATTTCTGGTCATTTCAGCCTCATTATAGTGTGTTTTCTAAACTGGAAACATTTGATGTTCTGTGGAAAGCAGGTGGAAAAGACATTTAGGCTGTTTAGATAACTTCTACAACAACATGAAAATAACCAGATAAATGGTGAGAAACTTGAAAAAGAGTGTGCTTACATGGAATTTAACGACTGTTTTTGAATGTGTTTTGCAAAAGAGTGTCATGGCATGCACATGTTTGTTTGTGTGATGTTGAAACACCTTGCATGTTTCACCAATAAACAACAAGGTTTAAAGTCTTAACTACTAAAATAGTTTTTTTATTACCCTATAAAACTTCTACAAGCTTTGGTTGTTTCTTAAGACCTTAATCAAACTATTTCCTTCAACTAGGGTATCCACACAAGCTATGTGTTCGAAAATACGTATTACCTTGACCAAAATCACCCACCCCTCATTGTATTTATTTTTTTGCTCCCAGAAACAACTCCTACAAGTGACGTGGTGGAAACAACCGAGTGTTACCAGGGCAGAGGAGAGGGTTACAGGGGGACGGTAGACGTGTTGCCAACTGGACTCATCTGCCAACGTTGGGACTCTCAGTATCCCCATAACCACACATTCATACCTCAAGCCTACCCCTGCAAGTGAGTCAGACACCATCCACTCACTCACCCACCTGCATTCACTTATATCCGAGCAGATTACAGCATGTCTCTGTGTTTTCCAGGGACTTGAGAGAAAACTACTGCCGGAATCCAGATGGCCGAGAATTCCCATGGTGCTTCACTACAGACCCAAGAGTCCGCACCACGTTCTGCACCAACATCCCTCAGTGCGGCACCCGAAACAAGCCTGGCAGCGGTGAGAGACTCTACACAGCTTTATTTGATGCCCAAAACAGCAAGGAGATAGCTTATTTTACATCCCAACCAGAGAAAATGTCTATATCTTCATATTTGGTGGATGAGTGCACAGGAGACCCAGCTACCACACATATTGGTTTGTAACCACGTATTCTCCGTCCCCCCGGAGCACTTTAGCCCTAAAGGACTGTGGGAAGGGCTGACCACCCCACCTCACATAACAAACTCTGACAGCAGCTCACGATCGTCAGGTCTCCCCGGACAGTGAAAGATGGAGTGGAAGGATTAGTGCTGGATGGGAGTTTTTCTGGGGTAGCAAGAGATATTCAAGTCAAAGATTTAGATCTATGGCTGAGTACACACATTTAAATTTCCCAAGAGATCTTAGGAACATGTCTTTGAAAATAAGTCGCCTTGCATTGGGACTATAAACCCCTTCTGAGGTTGGATTGTGGTCCACCCTTGAGGGTTGAATATGTTCTCATATAGGAATGAGTTTAACAGTTAGAAAGAGCTTCAAACCCTTATTTATGACCTGGGTCTTAGGGCATCATTGTGGGCAACTTATTTGTATTCCCAGCTCAATATAATGTAGATCCAATAATAGCTTAGAATCTGAGGGATGTTTTTATTTTTCTGCATTTAATTGCCTAGTTTTTTTCCTAAAAGTGTGTTGTATGGCAAAAGGCGCTTTCACACCGGAGTACTTTTCCCCGTACTTTTCCCGTTTAGTTCCGATAGTTCCTGGGATTTTGCGTTCACACCAAAAAGAGAACTTAGTTCATGAGAACTTTTACCCCCTTTGTAGTGCCTGCTAGAGAGCAGGTACTTTCCTGGGGAGAAAAAAGTTCCAATTTCTGATTGGCTGGGCGAATTGCAAACCACGCCCCGTAAAACTCTGAAACGTTTTTTGAAGCCGCCATTGTATTTGCTGGCATTAGCATTATTAGCATTAGCATTAGCCCCGCGCACCAACGGAGAGAGAATAACTTATGGCAACACAAAAAAAAACATTGGAGCGGTGGAGTGATGAGGAGGTGTCGGCGTTCTGACGATTTACTCGGAAGGCTTCAGAGTCCCAGCAGCTTCTACTGAAGCCAGTCCCCAACTCCGGGGACTTCCGGCCGGGGACTTCGGGTGGCAGTATACGCCGTGAAGTTGTTTGCGGCCTGCCAGTAAACCCAAAGCAGAAGAAGAAGAAGTGACGTCAGCGGCTTAATTTGCCTAATCTTCCCTCAGGGAATGTATTTCGGTGTGAACGCGATCGGCTCTTAGTTCCATGGGGGTACTAAGTGCTGGGAACTAAGTACGGCAAAGTACTTGGTGTGAAAGCGGCTAAATACTGCACAAACAAGTTTATAGGTTTATAGAAGTACTGCAGAATACTGCCTATTGTGCTTTTAGTTTTTATTGTATTTTTACATACACAAAGTGTGCCTGTCTCATTTAATTTCTTCTTTGTGTCCAAATACAGACTGCTATGAAGGTTTTGGAGAGAATTACCAGGAAGAACAGTCGAGGACTAGATCAAACCTGCCCTGTACTCCCTGGAGAGACCACAGCAACAGGTTAGCCCATTGGACCCTGCTTCTTTCTTACCTAATAACTTTTCCAAACTCCGTCTATGATGTAATAAACATACCTTCACCTTCAATAAACTGAGACAAGCTCCTCTTCCTAAAGAAGATATCAAGATGTCCCACAGCTGTAGTACTGTACATGTAACCCTTCAGAGAGAGTGATATGGTGTAGTTTTTTTTTTAAAGATAAATGGGATCGGAGTAATCACTGTTTTTACGAGCAGAACAATTACTATATCCATGGGTTAAAGAGCAGACATTATTGAAAAATGAAGTCTTTGTGAAACAAGTTTATGCATGAAATCATCAGCGTGCAGCAAAATGGGTCTGTGTTATCGAGAACCATGTGTGCGAACCTGAGATGCGGTGGTTAAAGCAAGGGAGCGCCCTATTATTGACCTCTAGTTACGACTTATTGTTGTTAGCGGATCAAGTCAGGCCTCTTTTTCTCGGAGGAGAAAACGGCTCCTGCGGGTGCTGTGACTAGCCTCTGAAGCATCTCCTAATGGCTAGAGAGGTTGGAGAAGTGTTTCCCTGAAGATGACCTAACTCAGCAGGAATGACTCCAAGTGATAATTTAGCTGGGGGATATACACTTCACTTCTAACCCTTGACCCCAAAGCCCTCCTCTGCAGGAACACTTCAAAAGCCGATCATTTCCATGGCTTGGCTCCTGCCTAGGGGTCTAAGGTCAGGGTTAAGGAGTAACAGTGAGAGCTGGCAGTTGAGCTAGCTGTGAGGAACACAGCGCACTCTTGATCGCTGTGATTTGGTACTCAAATATGTTTCCATTCTCCTTTACCATTCTTAAATGTAGCATTCAAGAAATTCAAAGTGGGAAAATATTAGTTTTTTTAAACAATGACGAGAATACCCAAAAGTGGGATAAGTCTGCATGAGCAAGTATAAGATAAGTGAGTATAAGTGAGTGCATACTGTCCCAGTGAGTAATCCCTTGCAAATCACCTCCCTATCGTGTCCAGAGGGACAAAGTCCACACAGCTGTTTAGTTTGACTGTCCAGATAATATCTGGCAAAATGTGTTCAGCTTTTACTAATGGTGATAAATCACCAGCAAATCTTTTTTACTTTAATCAACCGCTGGATTAAATCCTCAAAGAGAGCAAAACTAATCCTTTTGTATTTATAATTATGTTTTGGGCTTACTGAGTGTTGATGAAACATACGTTATTGTATCTTTTTCTGTGTGTCCAGTGGTGAGAGGGGCATGCTGACGGCTGGTCTGGAGGGAAACTACTGCAGGAACCCTGATAAAGACAAACATGGCCCCTGGTGTTACACCAACAACTCTGCCATTCCCTGGGACTACTGCAATGTAAAGCCATGTAAGTGCACAAGTGTACATACAAGCTTCACACAATGACACAAGGAAACACTATGGTACTGGTCAACAATCTGAGACTGTGAAATTGAAAGTTTTTCATTCATCTTGGTCCAAGACGCATGTAGCTTGGATGTGTTTTCGCTCTATCTGGTTGTATGTGCACACACACACACACACACACACACACACACACACACACACACACACACACACACACACACCCTTTATTTGCAGTGTGTAGATCTGTCTACACTTGCAGGTCAGTGTGTGTAAGAGACAATTCACATCTCATAATCAGAAAGATATGGGAGGGTTCCCCCTAACTTTTTCCACATGGACGAAGAGCAAGCGGCATCATGACTGTGTGTGTGTGTGTGTGTGTGTGTGTGTGTGTGTGTGTGTGTGTGTGTGTGTGTGTGTGTGTGTGTGTGTGTGTGTGTGTGTGTGTGAATGATAATGTCAACAAATAAGTGTAACATTGATGTTTACTTTCACAGACTACAATAGGACAGTCTATGCAAACATATACTAACTGTCTTATGGTCCTTTTAGAATTGTCACATTCAATCAAAGCCTTTCTGATAACAAAAATAATAGTCGTGACAAACCCTAGTGGCCAGTATGACATGTGCACCTCTTTTAAGGTTTCTCCTTATCTTGTATCTGGAAATATTCCCTGATCCCTCGTTTGTCTCCACTTCTTCCTGCAGGTGATGCTTCGCAGAACACCATTCCACTGGGTGAGTGTTTCTTTGTGTCTGTCTGTGTTGAGTGGCTCAGCTGCTGATCTGTACATGACAGCCTCCAAGGAAAGACATCATTTAGTCCTTTTTATGTCCAGCTATTATAGTACATAATGCAGGACATTAAGTTGTCATGCTGGCATCTGTTTCCTTGTATCTGTATAAGTCGTGTGTGTGTGTGTGTGTGTGTGTGTTGGACTTAATTTTCTTCACATAATAACTCAAGAACAGAGAATAAACCCTTGATCTCTTTATATGGAGCTCAAATGACACCCATGTGTCGTATGCGCATATTCAATAATGACCTTAATTGATGACCTTACAAGAATGATGCTTATGTTTTATATATACTAATGATGATTATAGCGGATCATTAAGCAGCTCAAGCACCTTTTGTATTGCAACTGTGTAAATATTATGTAATTAACTACAGTATGTCTCTGCCTGCAAATGCATAATTATGATATCAATTAGATGCATTTGATATGACATTTGGTATATCAAAATATGTCTGTGTGTCTTTCTTTCCAGGTGAGCTATCCTCTGTGGGGTGTTTTGTCCATAAAACAACCAGGATCGTGGGAGGAGGTCCGGTGGGCATATCAGACGGCAGCTGGATGGTCAGCATACAGAGAGGGTACGCCGCTGCGTTTAATATTCTTCACATTGTTCTCTACCACTGAAGAAGAACAGTAGGCCGTGCTGCTTAGACCACTTTTGAATTCAAAACAAATGTTTCTTCTTTTTCTCTTTTCTTTGCGGTGGAGGGTTCATATGCTATTACAGATGCACTTTTTACAGTAGTATAAGATACAGTAGTAGCATTGATGCCACACATGTTTATTCAGTCAGAAGGTTCATAGATCGAGAATACATTTGAATAGAAGAAGACAACTACCTGTTGTAAAGGGAGATTTTTAATTGAAAGCCCACAATTTATTTGTTCAATCTTCTTTTTTCCAAACAATGAAAGGAAAGAGTCCATCAAGTCACATCTATATTAAATACTGTTTACACTGCAACTGCTTACATAACTGTACACACTGTTGGTCTTGCACTATTCCCCTTTAGAGTTTGATACTGTATGTCATGTTACTCTGGAAATATATTGTATTGGTTTGTGTGCAGTGTTTCACAGCTTTATTTGATTTTGAGTTGTGATATGTGCTCTTTTCAGGTCGCAGCACTGGTGTGGGGGTTCATTAATACGAGAGGAATGGGTACTCACTGACAGACATTGCTTCTCCTCATGGTAACTTCAATGCACTCACTGTCTGTTTAAGTCATTTCTTTCTTTTTGCCTAAACCTTGAACTGTCAGTGCAGTTTCTTTTCTGCTCCTATGTGTTTCCACTGATTCAAGCATAAGTAACTAACTGTCTTCATTTGCTAGTGTCTGTTCCGCTTAGACTGGAGTTTGTAGAGAGCAATAAAAGTGGAATATTTTATTGAGTTTTAACTCTTTCTTCAGTGTTCCAGACCTCAGTGAATATCGGGTGTGGCTGGGAGTCTCAGATCTTCAAGATGGTGCTCCAGACTGGTCCAGGAGACAGGAAGTGAGCATAGCTCATGTGATATGTGGTCCTGAGGGCTCCAGCTTAGCCCTCATAAGGCTGTCCAAGTAAGTATACCTCGTAAAATAATTCCCAAAAATATACTGATATATCTTTTAGTGTTTGATGTTGATCATGCCTTGTTCTTTCTGTATTTTAAAAACTTCCAGGCCTGCCCTTCCTGCAGACAATGTGCATACACTTCAGCTACCCGTGGCTGGGTGCTCCATCCCAGAAGGAAAAATATGTAAAATGTATGGATGGGGCGAAACAAAAGGTACTGATTTTCGCTACAGCTGTTGGTTTTACTCAGGTTTGCAATACATTGCATTTTATTGCATTTCTCCTGCAGCAGTCCTGGAATATTCAGTATATTCTGCAGAGGTGAAAAAGTATATTGTAACACAGTCCTCTCTTAAATATTTGGTTACTGCCAGTATAGCTAAGGCCATTTTATTTCTCAACTCTGGGTTAGGGCTGCTTGCTGGGTGGCAGATCAGAGATGATTTATATTTTTAATAAAAGTTAAAATGTGCCATGATTTCTGTATAAACCATTGAGACTTCCCCAATGCTCTTGAAAAAAAGAAGCATGCTAAATATGATACACCACTATATAATACGTATTTGGATCATGCCAAAATATACAATGTCTACTATAAAATGTTGGCACGTCTGTTGCATAAGCTGCAAAACAACAGAGGCAATAAAGTGAAACTTTTAACTCTTTCAGGCACTGGCCATGATGACGTGCTGAAAGCTGTTGACCTGCCCATTGTCAGTAATGTGAGGTGCAGAGAGATGCACAGAGGGAACCTTCACATCACCAACACCAAGATCTGTGCAGGAGGCAGGAGGAATGAAGGAGTGTGTGAGGTAAACTCATTTGTCACATTATTTTTCCCAGTGAGGTGTTATACAATTTAAAAATTGTTTCTGTGATCAAAAAGAGAATCTGACAGTATATATTTGTATAATATTTTCACGCCTTGTTGGTAAGAACTACCAGGCAGCCTTGATACTTTTTGGGTAAAGTAACAGTGCTCAGTGTGAATGTATGAGTGTATTAGTGACTTGGTTGAACACAAAGCTTTTAGAGCTGAGTTTGATCCACATCTCAAACGTTCTTTGAATCCTTGAGCTTTGTATTCAGTCCGTTGTAAATAGAGCAGCTGGAGTGTGTTGCACTAAATTTCATCAGCGATCAAAGCCTTAGTTCTGTGGTTTATAGCTTTAGAGGCTAGCTGTCCGTGTTCACTAACACTGGTGGTGCTGCAAGGCACTGAGAGCTTAAAATGCATTGTGCTTCCATTTAACCCTGTCTTAAATGTAAACTGTGATGATAACCATTTCTCAACCAGCGATGTAAGGAAATGTGTTAACTATTTCTTCTTCTACAGAGGGATTACGGCGGCCCTCTTGTGTGTCAGGACGGTGAGATCAGGGTTATTGTTGGAGTGAGCGTCCATGGCAGAGGCTGCGCTCGGGCAAACCAGCCTGGCATCTTCATCAATGTGCCCTTCTACACACAGTGGATCTACAAGGTGTTCAAACATTACCCTAACCCTGAGACTCAGTAGAGAAGGAAACAGAACCAGGGGACTAAATCAAACGTAGAGCTTCTACTTCTGTAAATACAGCTGTGCTCTCAGGACACCTGGTTTCTATGTTGTTCATGGCCCATAGATCCTTGAGAACCTGATCTGAGCACCGTTAAATGCATGGGGAAACACTGTGATTTAAATACATCATAAACAGATGCTGACTTACTGGTTATTTGATTGAGTTGGGAGCAAACATTTAGTTCCCTACATTTGTAAAGGTTTTTTTCTTTGCAAGCACGGCCACCAGAGTGGTGTGTGTCTGTGGTAATACTCTTGAGTCCTGGCATTACTTGAATGTTAAAACACCAAAGTGCAGTGGTTCAGCAGCTCCTTTTGAAGAGTACATCAATGGGCCACTTAGAAAACAACCCAGTGGTAGGGCAATGTTAAGGGCACTCTTGTCAAGCTTCATGTATCTCCAGGGGGCTTAGATAAAGTGGCCCTCACTGTACATAGTATTTTAATGAGTGTATTTGTGACACTCTAAAGGTTATCTGGGTCTTATAGATCTATGACAAGAGGAATAATGTTGAGGTAGGCAGATAAATGATGTACAGTGTGTTATCTGCGGTTCCAGTTTTCAGCCAAGTTTTCTCTTATAATGATTTCAGCTGTACTAAAAACATGACCATTTTCAGTATTATAATGTTATCACAAAGCCACTGACTGTATATATGAATGTGCTCTTTTCATTCTGTGTAGATGAAAGGAATGTATGGCTTGTCAGCCTATAGGATTTGAAAAAAAAGCAGAAAATGTAACATCAAGTTCTTTCCTCTTTTCAATGTGGAATATTTTCCTCTAAAGCAGTGACAATATAGTGTGGTGTGTGTGTGTGTGTGTGTGTGTGTGTGTGTGTGTGTGTGTGTGTGTGTGTGTGTGTGTGTGCGTGCGTGCGTGCGTGCGTGCGTGCGTGCGTGCGTGCGTGCGTGCGTGCGTTGTGTGTGTGTGTGTGTGTGTGTTTTGAGACTGTGTATGTGTTGTTTAAGCCTGAGCTGAATGAATTATCATCCCCCTGCACTCAGACCTTGGCAGACCTCCAATTTCAATCCACTCTGGATATTAGCGTCACAAAGTCTGTCACTTCAAACTTTGTCATGGAAAAGAAGGGACAGTCTTTGTAACTGCATTGTCTGTAATGAATGCTTCAATGAGATGACTGAATGGCCCTTGGAACAAATTAACACATCTCTTTAAGCAGTGTAAATGATCGAGATGACTCTATATTACAGTGCATTATGTTTTGTACGGATGAGAACATGTTACTGTGTGTGTTTGTGTGTGCACTGAAAGATGCTGCAAGCTGCTATATTCTACAGGTTGTACAGTACTGTCTTATGTTGTAAGCTCTGTATAATGTACATTAACTATACACTTCATGTCATCTAATACAATATGTTAAACCTAATTTTAGCAATGATTTGGACATTATGATAATTTCGGTCACTATATTAAATATGTTTTTTTAAATCTATGATTCTATTTTTCAGTTCATTGTTTAAACTATTGCATTTGAATTTTGTTTTGTTATTAATTGAAATGTGCATTGTCCTGTTTGCTGTATATTTAAGTCAGGGCTGTTATGCTTCCCTACCAGAAGATGGCACCACAGTAGCACAGAGACTATAAAGATGACTTGGTAATCCTACTTACCTCTCTCTCTCACACACACACACACACACACACACACACACACACACACACACACACACACACACACACACAGTCAGTCATCCACTTACATGCAGATGCACAAACCTACATACTATTAGCCTTGTAGCTGTCCTTGATCAAATAATACCACTGATAGACTATTCTACTGTTAGTCAAGAGTTTAATGGATAGGGACTGAAGGATAGATATGAGGGGCATAGCAGTGCATGGGTAAGTGTGTAAGAGTGTGTGACGGGGGTGAGATTTGGAGTGAGTGAAGGTGAAAGAGTGCAGCAAAGCAGGGACTGAGAGCTGGAGATTAATTGTGAATCCATTGATGCTGTATTAGGAAACTTCTGGAGCAAGCAGAAAATACATGAGGATCGACATTTCTGTTGCTATGTACACTGTGTGCGCTGATGCTGACACAAAACACATATGCAGCACACACACACAGGCACACTAACAGACACAGTAGAAGCATCAAAGGGAGATGAGGTGTAAGAAGTGTGCTTTCATCTGCAGGTTGGATGGACAGACAAACATGTAACATGTAGACATAAATAAGAACACAGACAAAAGGACAAACGCATGCACACACACACAGGCACACACACACACACACACACACACACACACACACACACACACACACACACACACACACACACACACACACACACACGTACTGACTGGCTCACTTGACTTACTGGCTCAGTGCACTGTGAGATCTACAGCATACATGGGGCGAATGATCCAGAGAACATGGCTTGTGTCAGTGCTGTTCAGGTTGGCGTGACAGCATTGTGTGTGTGTGTGTGTGTGTGTGTGTGTGTGTGTGTGTGTGTGTGTGTGTGTGTGTGTGTGTGTGTGTGTGTGTGTGTGTGTGTGTGTGTGTGTGTGTGTGTGTGTGTGTGTGTGTGTGTGTGTGTGTGTGTGTGCAGGAGATTGTATGATAGAACAGACTAAGAAACTAAAAAGCCATGTCTTTCAGTGTGTATACTCATTTACCAAGATGAATTGTTTATAAATGTGTTTAAAGTTATGTACGTGTTAATGTCTCGTATGAAGTAGAACCCTTTTTGGTGTTTATTATTATTTGTACCAAAATAAGGTTATTCTCTATTAGATGATTCCGAATCATAATACTCAAATCAGCAATTTATTCAATATGAGCTTCATCAAATCAGTAACTGAACATTTAAAAAAGACTACATCCATAAACAAAGAATGTGCACTGCTGAAATGTAGGAATACATGTCGATCGGTACAGATCTGTTTCATCCTAGCTTCTAACTTTCAGTACAATAATAAGTTGATTCTGCCCTTCTTCTGAATCTCTGCTTTTCATGAGAGGGTGCATGGTTCAGATTCATCCTGAGAGTTTGTGAAATGGATAAATATGGTATTTCCTGATACATTTAAAACTGAAAGTCTAGCTGGCCAGGAGATTGAAATTCAAACAAAGTAGCAGCACACTCGCCGCAGCTGGCTGTTGATTTCACGCAGAGATCTAACTGCGACTGGTTTCCTCTCTATCCCTCTGTATGAGTGTTGCATGTTTTTGAGTGACTGAGAGAGGAGAAAAAAGAAGAGAGAGAAGGGAAATGCTTTTATAAGCCACAGGACGCCCATTACAGATCATTGAGTTTCAGATTTAGTTAAGAATATCTTTCATAATCTAATTGGGTTGTCTTTGTAATGTCATTTAACCTCTCTTCAGCCACTTTACTTCTTCTCTGTGGACTCTTCAGTTTAATAACTCTGTGGTGTGTCTGTCTGTCTGTCTGTCTGTCTGTCTGTCTGTCTGTCTGTGTGTCTGTGTGTCTGTCTGTCTGTCTGTCTGTCTGTCTGTCTGTCTGTGTGTGTCTGTCTGTCTGTCTGTGTGTCTGTCTGTATGTCTGTCTGTCTGTCTGTCTGTCTGTCTGTCTGTCTGTGTGTCTGTGTGTCTGTCTGTGTGTCTGTGTGTCTGTCTGTCTGTCTGTCTGTCTGTCTGTCTGTCTGTCTGTCTGTCTGTCTGTCTGTGCGTGCGTGCGTGCGTGCGTGCGTGCGTGTGTGTGTGTGTGTGGCATATTATTTCAAGTGTCATGAGTATTACTTCAGTTGTGTGGGATAATAGATAAGCTTTTAAAATGATCCTTCCCGTATCAGTATTTCCTCCAGTAACTTGACCCACCTTTCTACCCTCACATTAATTTGACCATCAACACCAGTCTCACTTTTCATTGTTGCCTACTCTATGATGCACAAAAAAAAACACCAAACAGTCAAATGCAACCAATAGAGTAGAAATGTTTTGGCTTCTCACATATTTCATAAAAGAAAAATGATCTGACAAAATCATGAAGTGTAGCCTTTCTCTGGGGAATTCCGAATGTGTGTTGAGATTTATCACATCTTAAAATGCATTTGCAGATTATTGCGCCTGTTATTTTACCATCTTACAAAATAAGATTTTATTGGGCTTGAAAGAAATGAGAAACTCAGGAAGGGAGAGCAATCTATATGCAGTACACACAATAGAGCACAATGCTCATGAAATTAACTGTCCAAATCAAGCCGAGTGCTCAATAACCTTCTGGACTGACTGACTAACTGCCTGACTGATGTCTCATTGTGGAAAAAGCTCAAGCCTGAGATGACGCATGCAGCAAATCGTCAATAATCAGGTGTGGTGAAATCAGCCCCTTTCACCTCTTTCCTTCAGCTATTTTCTTTTTTTAGCAGTGCATCATGTGTATATAGTTTTTAGTGTAAGTTTGTTCATTTTAACATGGATTATGGTTCATGGTATGGGGTGGTATCAATGTTTTGGAAGTATTATCGCATTCTGTCCTCAGGAATTTCAGGAGGCCAAAATAGATCTACAATGGCAATAACTATTTTACAAAATATTCACAGTCAGAACTTTCACTTTACATAATTCAAGTCAAGAAAGTCCATATTGTATTAGCTATTTGGTTTTCTTTTGTGTAATGAGTATTGCCAAAAAGCTCACTTTTATCAATGAGGTCTCGCTTCATATATCTGGGTTTATAAATCTAGCAAAAATAAATATAAGTAAACTACTTTATCTTTGGTCAGCAACTGCTTTTCAAACACCCTGTAGAAAGCAGTAAATCCACAACAGTTCAAAAGAAGCTGCTAACCAGCCAATAAATGTACATTATAGTTATACTTGCAGCAACCAGGTGTGAATACTTAGAAAATCCAGGGCTTACAATATTTCTTATAACACACCTGGTTAAATATATGATATGATTTAATGCTTATAACTAGACATACAACGTTCTGTCCTGGGCAGTATTTTTTAACAAAGCACACAGAAGTTTGGTTGTCAGCTTTTGATAATTTAGTCTCACAAAACCTTGCCTGCGATTCAATCTGCGTCTTTCTTTCATGACATCTCAAGGTCTGGATCAATGGGTGCTGTAAATCAGTCGCTGTGGCAGTGGCTGTGTAGATATTAATCATTAGTTATTCAATCAGGGCCTCGGGAGGCAGCACGACGGACAGAAGACAGACACACACACAGACAGACACAAACAGACACACACAGACACACAGCAGGGTGAATCATCAGAGGAGGGCTGGGGGAGGCTGGGGGACATTAAACAGCATAGTCTGGGAGATCACTAAATCTCAAAGTGACAACCAACTTCCAAGTTCATGCCCAGAAGTGTTTTTTTTACATCAAAAAAGACTCTCCACGTGTAAACTTGATGCAGATTTGATTCGCTCTGACTGCTTTACATTGGTTAAAAACTGGTCCAAAATTGAATTTGGTTGAGAATAAATATTCAAATAATCGTACACAGCAAAATGAATGTAGTTTAATCAAGAAAGACTTGTTTGTTAGTGAACAAATATGTATTGACGTGGACTTCTGAAGAGCTAAAACTGGGCCCTGGACATGACAACTGGAGGTGAATGGGTTGGACGAGGACCACAATGTAGATTTGTAGATAAGAGTGATAATCCCCCCTGAAAATGTGTGCGACATCTGTTTGGTAGTGATCCGCCGCAATAGGTCTGTGTTTTCATTTCTGCTGGGACATCATGCTACCTTTGTCTGCACTTATCTTGACAAAAGATTTGTCAAAAGATATATTCTGCATAATCTAATCCATTATGCTGCAACATGCATTTTTAAAAGGAAGTGATCAGCTATTCCGCCCATCTTTTGTCTGCCATTCTGTCTGCCTTTTTGCCTCTTTGCCTTTCACCTT